GTCATCAGCTTTTAGTGTTGGCAGTAGGTGCCTGTTTCCTGCCGCGTAGTCAGATAAGTTGTAAGATTTATATTTGTAATTTCTCTAGATGGATTTCTCCCTTCCGATACGGTGTTATGAAGATATTTAGCATTGAATGAAGCGATCAGTCTTTCGTGTAACTCAACCGTTGAATACATGGAAATATATTTTGATCTTGAGGATTCACTTCTGGAAATATACCTGGTTTAAGGTTAGATTAAAAGTACGTTTGATTTAACAGAATGTTTCTTCCAGAAACTGACTAAACCGAACAGTACCTGGTCAGCTACAGAGTGTTATGGTCGATGCCATTCGTGCAAGAGGTTAGTAAAAGAGTGTGCCAGAGTGTCCGGAAATCAGCGTTGGCCAGACAGGAAATATATCTTCTCCGAGGCGGAGGCAAAATGCAGACTTTAACGAATTGTTTCCGAACAGCTTCAGTGATATACCCTTCACAGCGAGTTACCGTAAGCAGTAAAATGCCCAACGGACTTCATGGAAGATTCACAAGTCAAGAGTTGATCATTTCAGATCATCTCTCAATATGTCAATCTTATTTTTTTCTTTTGTACGGTTTTGATTTGCCCATTTCCATAATGAGCCGTGGACTTCTCTGCATCGCAGAGATGCTCATTTCGTGCATCACGCATGATAAAGACAGATTCAGTTGAACTTGAGGTTTTCAGCGTCAGTCGTTAGAAGATTGCGTTTCAATTTCTGAAACGCCTGTTTGATTTCTAGCAGTTCGTTCAGGGATACGCAGCTTTGATGTCGTTAGCATATCTGATACAGATAACACGACCACTGCCGCGGTTTGACTGTTTGTGAATTTCCAAAAGAGCAGGCGTGATGACAAAGCTTCACGACACTACAAGGTTGGTAGGTTTGTCGTACGTAGATTTGCCCGCTCCTCCAAATTGCCTCGGATGCGACAAGTAGTCACAAAGCCAGCGCTTGAGCCGTGCATTGAGTGATGCTTGAGGTTAATGAGTAGTCGATCCCTTAGGTGGTTCTGAAATCCGACGTAAAGTCTACAGGTGAATAATTCCTCTTGGCGTGATGAATCACTTGTTGCTCCTAATTTCCCTCAGAACCGTTTAAGCAATTCACTGCTCTGTGATATTTGAGCACTTGCAGTGCTAGATGCATCTCGCATGACCGTATTCACTATTGCGATCTCTTATCATCGTCACAAATGATGCTTCAGGAGCTATTGAGATGATGGATTCACTGGCTTGAGAGTGCCCTCTGAAAAAATCAGACCCGGCATCTGTTATGGTCTGACACAACCATCCAGAGAGAATGGAGACCTATCCAAAATTATTCTCCTATGGAAAGCGAAAAAAATGACTGCAGACACGTCAGAGGCCAATATCGTACCTGAAAGCAGCTGTAGAGGCACACTTGCTTGCGTTGCGACAAGGAATGTGGCGGTTGCCGCAGCAACCAGTGTCTCCTGAATCATTTTGAGAAGCCAAAACGTCAGACATCATTAATCTGGGTACTTGGTCTTTGACTTTGATACCTCAGATAACGATAGCATCAGCAAAATTATGGATTCATATGCTTGAGTTTGCTAACATACGAATACCTATTCCAGTACCAGATTTTCTACGCATTGCACCGCTCCTTTGGTTTTATTTGCCTACGGACAGCTGTAAGCAGGCCGACGCTCTGTAGTTTTGAGCCCCTCCAGTGTAGTTTCGGTCGTTAATTAATGATTTTTTTCAAAAGCTTTTAATTCGGCATTTCTTTAATTCTTTATTCTGCTGAAGTTTCTAAGTCTACTCTTAAGGTGTTTCGTTTTATTCGTGGTTCCACTATGCAGTACTTCATCAACGCAGTTGAGAGAATGCCCTTCTTTTATACCTTGAAGAACACACGAGTACTGACTTGTGATGAAGTCGTACTTTATTTTATGTTTTCTACTTTCCTTTTAATTGGTTTCTTCGGTGTTTCTAATTCAGATTCGTGTCAACGTTTTCTAGCAAAGTGTCGCTGCGCTAAGCGGTGTTGTTCATTGGGACACAATGTAAGACTTCATTAGTCGTGTTTTTGTTTTTATTTGTTATTTAATTTTTCTGCATTCATTGAAGATTTGCATTTTCATTAAGTGTTGTTTTTCGCACTCCTCGAGTGTTTTTTCAGCGAATCGTCAAGCTGAACCTGTTCTGCCTTTACGATATCGTCAAAAAACAAAGGTATATTCTATTCGTAACGAGTTAATTTACTTATAAAGCGGTGCAGTGACAAGTTCTTCAGAACGCCGGCTTCGGCGTCCCGTTATGGAGTGCGGGAGGCAGCCATGCCAGAACCAAGCGAAGGGAAGTACATCCGGTCAGATTCCTGTGATCAGCTAGTTAAGTGTGGGTAACGGGGAATGAAAGGACTTACTATGCTTTTAAGATAAATCTGTCTCTACGACATTGTCTACAAGTGGCAATAAAGTGGAAGGATAAGAGGTGCAAAGACTGTATTGAAGCCATCTGCTGTCTAAAATGGAAGTGATCCTTTTCGCCAGACCTGACTTAATTGAAGACCTAAAACTGATGACGAACATATAGCATTTGCTTATAGTCAGAAGTAGGCATCTTCCAACCCAGTGGATCAGATTAATCCGGTAGAGATAAATTGTGTATCCTGTAGTAAACTCTTTAGACAGAGGACTCACTTATTGGTTTCTAATATCACTTCGCTACGAAATTTTCCTTAGCTGCTGTTGATAAACTTTTTAGTGATTTATTAAGATTCTGATCTGTAGATTGCCACTTCCCTGCTCATGAATCGTAAGGTTGACTAATTGATTAAACAAAACTACTCCTTGTTTTTACACGAGCTAAGACATGGGGCAGTTCTTCGACGAAACCTTAAGCTGAAGTTCTGAATGTGGTATCTTACTACATTAGTTTGTGTTAGTATTTTATTATGATTGCTCTTCCGGAAAGCCGAATGCGTGGACACGAATCAGCCGCTTGCTTAAGTTTTGTCGACCGCAAATGACTGCTATATTGCGCGTGTTTCTGTCAGTAGCGGTTTAAGGCGCTACTTTAAATGACTTACCAATAGTGAAGTGGATGGGTTGCATACATGAATTTCTGACATCGTATTTGGAGGTAGCAAAGTAAGTAGAAAATTTTCATCGGGATGCCGACCGCAATGAGAAGTTGGAAAGTAGCAGTATGTGACAGATCGTTTGGTTCAGTTGGCCATTAATGCATTGAGGGTCAAGCACTTTCAGATTATAATTTGCAGTCTGATATTTTACGCTTACGTGCATGAAGTGTTCTGGCCTTTTCTAGAGACAAAAGAAAATGGCTAGGGAGTTATTGAAGTTGTTGATAGGCCGGCAGATATGCCGGTGCATTTGGAACCTGTTGAAACAAGAAGGCGATTTCTACTAAGTTGATCGTGGCGTTTTGCCGCATATCATCTGACTGCTGCTAAAGCTGTACAACGTACAGCTAGCTGAATTCTCAGTAACGTAGTTTCTCTATGGTTGGTTCCCTGTTGACAAAACATTAAGTCAAGAGGGCTCACGGGCAGAACTTTAATGCCACTAGATTTGGGACAGTTCATTAGAAATGTCAAGGTTGTGAGAAATTTTTTCATATGCGTGTGATACACATATCAAATAGTAGACTTGCTTGAGAATGATCGAAATAGCTCCAGAGGATCTGCAAGAACTGGCAAAGAAGTCAGGATCTCAAGCATCATTGATCTTAATTTAAACCTGGCGAAAGCTAAGTTGATGATTCTGGCCAGAGGTCCCACCCCAACTCCCGTTTTTGGCGTTGCAGCAAATCAGTCCCCTCCAGAACCTTGGTTATATTCTGAACGGAAACGGTGATAAAGTCTATCTGTCGATGTTTACAAACAGCAAGGGCTTGTGTGACAAAACTCGCCAGAACCTATCAAAATTCCGACATCAGAAGCAAAGCTGGGACTTGCTAAATCTGTGATGTAGTCGGCTGCTGACAGTGAATGCGATATTTGGACCATCCAGGAAACATGATGCCGTAAGTGCATTGAAACTAGGTGTTACAAACAATTACACAGAAATTGGGTGTTACAATAGACTAACTATTACTAATTTCCTAACAGAACCTAGAGAACTTTTGAACATGTTTTAAATGAACTCGACCGCTTGTGAACAATATTCAAGTGTGGAAATTACGCTGTTATGATCACAGTTTTGGAAGCCGTGGTGATTGTTATAATAAAATAGTACACAATGACTCTGCTCTGAAGTCTGAGTGCGACAGAAAGACCCGGACTGCATTGTGCCAGCCACTATGTACATTGGATACAGCTAAGCGTAAGCTAAATATCATTCATATCACGGACGTCGCTCAAGCCCCAAAAATGTGACGCTGGATGGTTCATCATATCCACCACAGGTCGAAACTGAAGATGGCAACTTATTGACCGCTCATACGACTGTTCTGAATTTTATGCTGATTCTCTCTGCTCCGTAGAGCGGTAGCGTGAAACTATTTGATTTCTATAATTTGTGAGAAATTAAACTAGGAATAGATTTTTATTGGGTTTTTATTCTCCTGTTTCGTCGAAACTTGCTGTATCGTACTATATTAGGGATTTTGAAGGTCTACATTCTGGTCACGGTTTGACGGCTTATATGTTTAGAGTGATGGCTCACTCCAAATGCATGGATGAATCATTACTGACGTGCAGTATGCAGACGGGAGTAACAGGTGTGAGACTGATTCTTCAGACGGTGGCAGAAGGTACGGCGGAGGTGAAAAGTATTCTGTTGCACGAAGTCAACATACTTTTCGAGTGCAAGTAAATTTTTTGTTTCAACGTCTAAAATTGTAGGAAGCTTTTTTTTTAGAATCTGCGACAACATATTCAGAGGTTTTCCAAATTTGCTTACGCACAAGAGGGTTTATTGTCGCGAATCGGTCTTAACAAAGTCTGGCGACGAGTTAATCCCTGGCGGAATTGCTGATGACGAGACGGGCGATCGAGACAAGTCATCGTCTGGTCTCATGAAAGACTTAGACACTGATATCGCAGATTGGAATTCTGCCAACGCAGAGAATCGTCCAGCTACAAAAGTGACTTTGAACCTATTGAAGCGGCTGGCGAAGCGGTGGATGAATTCAGATGAGTCAGTACCGTCATTCGGGAGCGGCTTTCAGGGTGTAAGACGAAAGCCACCGAGTGGTGTTTTGGGCGGAAATAAAAATGTGGCACAAGATGCGAAGAAGGACGACTCGGCGTACACGTTGGTGCTGCCGGAGGACCCCGTGAACCGTCTTCACTCGATGGAGCTGCGTCTTCGCCGCAGTGCAAATGCTTCCAAATTTGTGAAGACGGTCAGTCGCGACGAGCTGTCAATAATAACACGTCTGGAAGGTTGCAAAACGTGTGACTTGATGACAAGGACATGTCTTGTTGAGAGATGCAAACGATCATTTCCAGACATTGAAACGCTTGCTTACCACATGAACTATTCGCACGCTGACACAAGGCCTTCTGGCCCGCTGTCGTGCCTTCTTTGCGGAAAACAGTTGGGAGGATTTCGCGCCCTCAGGGCCCATATCCAGCTAAGTCACCGACGAGTCGCGATGCATTACAACGACGAAGTGATGAAACGGTGGCCCGAGAAACCTAAAGAATACTCCGGAAATTATAGACACATAAAGCGGCCTAACCCGAACGTCGTGTTTGTCAAAGAGGTGCCGCCTCTATCGAACGATGTTCCAGTTTTTCCCGAATCCCCTAAACAGTCATCTGCGTTGGACGACTCCCAGGTGCTGGTAGAAAAAAAGCAGAAAGGAGACATTTCGATTTCTAAACCGCCAACCCTTCAAGTGACCGACCCGATCAAAAGTCAGGTGGCAGCAGATGGTTTGGCGAGTGGCGGTGCTAACATGGTTGTAACCAGCAGTACCAATCCTGGAGCGGCGGTTACTGAACGAAGAATTGTCACGTTGCACACCGGTGGAAAGAACGAGCAGTCGATTCTGTTATTCAATAAATCTAGAAACGTCTTGTTGCAGCTGAAGCCGTCTGCGATGGGTTCAAAGGACAGGCAGCATGGCAAACAAAACTATGTCGCTCTGTTGCCTAAAAAATACATAGTTTCTGCCGAGGCTAAGATCTCGACGGCTCAGCGATCAGTCTCCCGCGTTCAGATGAAGCCTTCGTTGCCGGAAATTTTGCCCCTGTCAGAGCCAACTGAAGTTACCTCGGCCAGTGAGTTTTCTCTTCCTGTTCTCACGTCGTCCGACATCGAGAAAGCAATGAGTGCGTTGTACGTAGGTTTTTTGAATAATAACGCTTACAACGACGTAAGCGTACCTACTGTACCGGACGTCGCGCAAACTGTTGAAATTAAGGTACGGCGCGGCCCGGGTCGACCGAGGCGGCTGCGGCTGCAGTCAGATGGTTCGGATGATCACTTAAAAAATCCAAGCTTAAATCCAAAGCTTTTGTGCAACCGCAAGCGAAGCAAATTTCCCGGAAACAAAATGGCGCGTGGTATGCTGAATCGCGGAATACGTTGGAACCCAAGGAGAAAGGTGATGCTGCAGCGGACAAAAGCCGGGAGTCAAGTTCAATTGAATATGGAGTCTGACTTCTATATGGATGAAAAATCGCTAAAATTAAATTTCGCACCTGCGACGAAGGCGCTGCCGCAGTTACGAATAAGACGAACTCTTAAGTCGCCGTACAATAGCGAAGAGTACGTGAACACTTGGCCGGGATCGCGTGAAGAAAGAATGGAAAAGACGGCCTTCCGAGACCGGACTTCATTTCATGGATCTGGTTGGAAGGGCGATATCGCTGGCACATCTGATTCACGCAGTATGCATCATCGACTGCCGTCCCGGAAGGCGAGAGCGGTGTCCAAAGGAGCGGGATCAGATGAGTGTGACTACAAGTTTCCGGTCATGTTTACTGCCATTCAAGAACAACAGCTCGAGGAGGTGGCGGATCTGGACGCGTTCTTATGTCGTCGTTGTGGCAGCCAGTTCACGACGAGGAGCAACACGGAACGTCACTGCTACGCGCACCTGAGTTTCGTGCGTTTTCGCTGTCGCCTGTGCAACACGGCGGCTTTCTACCTGAGCGATATGAAGCGGCACCTTGTTAAGCAGTGCACGAAAATCTCGTCTCGCAAGATCGGAGCGAAGCAGTTCAAAGAAAACATATTGCCATGCAACGAAAACCAACCAGGTACTGAAAAACGCGTTATGGATTTATCAAATGCA